GTGAACTCCTGTGTACTAGACAAAGAATCTAGTATCTGAACTCGAAATAACTTTATTCAATCAATAAAACCAAATTGGGAAGGATGTTGCTTCCAACCTCTCCTTTTCGGAATATAGGTATGATATCATCTTCTACTTCAGATTCGTAATCCACATTAGTCAATCCCTGTTTATGTACATTAAATGTCAGACCAATAAGATGAAAAAAAATACTGAACTATTCAAAGGAAGGTTGATAAAGCAGAAACTTCTGAAATGGAAGCCTAAAGCACAGAGTGTCGGTGTTTACATGTCAGGGCATACATGGCAGTAAGGCAATACATGCTCATTGAGTACTCGCAAGTAGAAAGGGTTCTCGTAAAACTTCCCAATGTCTTCTTTTCTCTGGAAACGCATGTAGACAGCATGTGTATACTTGTCGATATTTTCATTGGAGATACGTCCTACAAATGTGATCGAACATATAAGGCCATGTTTTAATGAAAATCAGACAACAGAAAAACGATTAAACAGAAACAAGTATTTGAGTTTCAAAAGTTCGAGACAGAATTGTTTTGACTATTGATTTATACAAGTAAAGCTCACCTAATGATACTGCAAGAATGCCTCGCATTTGATACTGGGTTGTATAAAGAAAATCCAGCATATCCTTCTCTTCCTCATCAGATAAATCCTCCTTTGCTTTCAGTAGGCATATGTGGTCAATGACCTTTCTGAGTAAAATGGAAATTAGAGAAATGTTATATTGCGCGTGTCAGATTGGGGAACCATACACAATAAGTATTCAACTAATAAAACGAACTTAAACACAAAACTATAAATGTTGCTTTGTGCTTACCACATACCTCATAACATGAGAAGGATCACATTTTCTGACCACATTAACAACTGAACATAAAAACTAATGTAACAAGTAACGCCCATCGGCTACGTCACATGGTTAGCTAAAGTGTTACAAAAATGCAGCATTACCCCAAATTGGGTAAAATTACAAAAGAACGCAACTTTCAGATATGGTAAAGCCAATCTCAAATTTATACAAGTAAAAATGCAAAACCCCAAATTGGGTAAAATTATATTTAAGTCTGCCTCTTAAATTTATTCATCAAAGAAAATGAAAAAAGTTGGAAGAGCAATGGAACCTTTTCTTCTGCACATTGAGGCTTGAGCTCTGCTCCTCCGTAGCCGAAACTGTCACTCCCCGATTCTTTTTCCTCCCCAACCATGTACTGATCACAACAGCTCCATTCATTCCACATGCTGAACAATAATAAATTAAATTGTAGAAAGAAAACAAAATATCATAAATATTCACTGAATTTAAAGAAATATATATCCAAAGAATGAAATTCGTATTACCGTTAAAAGGGGCACGGCGGGAGATGATTGGTAAACGGCGGTGAGGGTTTGTGAGGCGAATGGGAGAGAGTACGGAGCACTGAGATTGAATGAGCATCTTTCTTGCTTTGCTATCTGTGCATCTTTCTGACTCTGAGTGTGATTTTATATCAATCAAAAATAAAGGGGACGATCTCCTCCAGTATAAAATGGGTGGACAAGGAAAAAAACCGAACTTTTAAATTGTGGGTTTTAAATTGCCGCTTAGTTATCCACATTTACCAAAATACCCTCTTGGGTTTACATTTTCTTAAAAATAAATAGCGGTAAGCTACCCCCCTCGCCCCTCATGGTCACCTCTTCGAAACCCAATACTGTCAATATCCAGGAATTACAAACTTTTAACCTTTTTTTTAGTGGAGATTGAGGACAGCTAGACCAAACTAGTAATCTAGCATATAAATTTAAAACCCAATCATATTTAATTTACAACATGAAGTTCCGATCGACAAGTTGATTGACCCACCATAATCCAGATTCGAGCACACTTGCATTAAGGAGGACATATGACGAGAAAACCTAAAAACTCAACACAAACTACCATACTTTTGACTTGTACATTAATTCGAATATGAATTTGTGGTCTAGAAAATGTATGATATGGAAAAAATAATTATATAAAATGAGTATATATCCAGCTTCAGCCATGGCAAAAGTGTTCATTGTACAAAATATATGCAAATACTTAGAGCACACTATGTCAAATACAAGAGCACAAGAAGGAGCTTCAACGAAACAAAATGGTTTGAAACATAAAATAAAAAGACATTCAAGTCACAAATTAAAAAAAAAAACAAGAAGACACAAAAGGAGCTTTTCACTGTCGACAAGTTGGCATAACCCAAATTCAGGGGCAGAACTAGGTAGAGGGCTACCATGGGCTTTAGCCTAGGTAGCCTTTTTATAAAATTAAAATATATTACATGTATTTTAATGTTATTCATCTTATAAAAACTTAGTAGCCCACTCATATGTAGCCTTGTAACTCATTGTCCACTCAATTTTGTAGGCCTATAATCATCTTATATTTAATTTGTTTGCTCAATTAGGAAACATACTCTCTTAATAAACACTCATGATTTTAACTCTCAACCTTTTACTATTTTATCCCAATGTATACTTTTATTTCTAGAAAAACTAGAGAAACAGTAAGTACCCAAACAAAACTTGGTCCTTAGATTTTAAGCTAATAACTTTAGCTAGCCCACCCATTGAAAAATTCCTGGTTCCGCCATTGCCCAAATTGTTGGTCGCTTAGTCCTCCCCAACAGGGTCATAGCAATTGTCGTGTAAGGCTTTGAAATGCTTTGAGTTTTGATGTTATACACGCCAAAATCTTCAGGTACCCAAGACGTACCTTGATCATCTGAGGTGAAGCATATGCAATTAGGCTGGCATCCTGGCAATTTTGAAGCCAAAACAAACACGGAAGAATTATCACCCAAAAAAAGAGCAGCATCATCCAAGGTTTCTTTCTCAATCAACTCGTGTTTATCAAAATTTAGTTCGAAAATTTCAAATTTAAATGTGACATACTTCACATCTGGCCAAATACCTTCCCACTTTCTATGCCTTTTCACGATTAAAAACCCTTTCTCATTGGAATCCACAATATATGTCTTGGCAGACGCCCTTTGTGAACCAAACCCTTCCATAGTTTTCAAGCTTCCCCAGTTTATGTCGGATTCACTTGTAATGTCAAAACTTAAAATTGCATCCCAAGCATATACAACATAAGCTTTATCTCCAAGGTGAACAACTTCATGAAAGAATGAGAAGTCCCAATCATCAATATACGTCCAATATGTGTCTTTACTAGGTCTGATAAAAGCAAAATAAGAAAACTCTCCGTATATGACCGTAACAATAAAATCATGTGCATTTAAAATTGGGTCTGCTGAAATTGTAGCCTTATACACATAATAATCCAATTCTCCAAAGTCATAACAACTCCTCAGCGGAGGAAGGCGAATGATTGAATTTTCTTTCTCTTTACATCCTTCAACCATAGAGAATGGATTCATTAAGGTCACGACGAAGTTCTCTTCTAGAGCTATTAGCCATCCTTTTGAAGACCCACAAAATCGCTTACTCGGAAGTCTTAATTGTAAATCAAGAACCTTATCATTGATGACGTTGTATAAGTTCCATGTATCTTCTCTGTCACTAGAAATTAAGAGCATTGGAGCTGTGTGTTGACTTTGGCTCCGATTATTCTTCGCTACACCATTCCTTGTCTTACAAACAACACTAAAAGCCAAATAGTCTAAAATCAATTCTAATCTCTCTAAAACTAGATCTAATAGGTCCTTAGGCAAATTTTCCCAATGTGAAAAGACAAACGGGTAAAACTAGAATGAACCAGAACTAAAACGCCTCCAAAATAGAAAAAACCTTGGAATATTAATACTACAAAAATTTAGATTAAAAGAAAGATATATAACTAATAGAAAAACAACAATAATTTCTTGGAAAAGACATACCTTAATCCACAGCTGTTTTCTTTTTAGGTTTTCCCCGTGAATCCATAGCTTTTCTCTTTTTGATTTTTTCCTCTTATGATCTTTAAGGATTGGACTGATTAGATTGCTTGAATTTTGAACAGATGATTTTTCAAGATGGATTGAGTGCCCGTTCAAACAAGATAGACACAGCTTCCAACCAAATATATTGCTCTATTAATACATTATAAGATTTAGTATTATTCATAGATTCCGTGGTTTGGACAAACAGGGGAAACATATAGGCATTTGAGGAGATAGGGGTGTATAGGGTAAAGAAATGCACAGATTTGGGCCGTCTACTCGTCCTCCGGCCAATCCACAGAGCCATTTGGGGAGATAGAGAGTGCATAGAGGCATTTAAGGATATTGCTCATGTCAAACTTAAAGAATAAACCCTTCAACTCATCATCAAAGTCCAAACTCTGGATTAGGTAGACCACATCCCCAACAACATCCGAATGAAGAATAACAACTTGTTTGGAATCCTTCTCCTCCGGCCAATCCATAAAGGCATTTGGGGAGATAGTGAGTGCATAGGGCGAAGAAATGGACAGATTTGGGCCTTCTACTCCTCCTCCGGCCAATTCACAAAGGCATTTGAGGAGATAGAGAGTGCATAGAGACATTTGAGGATATTGCTCACGTCAAACTTGAAGAATAAACCCTTCAACTCATCATCAAAGTCCAAACTCTGGATTAGGTAGACCACAACCCCAACAACATCCGAATGAAGAATAACAACTTGTTTGGAATCCTCCTCCTCCTGCGAATCCATGGAGGCATTTGAGGAGATAAGGAGTGCATAGTGCAAAGAAATGGATAGATTTAGGCCTTCTACTCCTCCTCCGGCCAATCCACATATGCATTTGAGGAGATAGAGAGTGCATAGAGGCATTTGAGGATATTACTCACGTCAAACTTGAAGAATAAACCCTTCAACTCATCATCAAAGTCCAAACTCTGGATTAGGTAGACCACATCCCCAAAAACATCCGAATGAAGAATAACAACTTGTTTGGAATCCTCCTCCTCCGGCCAATCCATAAAGGCATTTGTGGAGATAAGGAGTGCATAGGGCAAAGAAATGTACATCTTTGGGCCTTCTACTCCTCCTCCTGCCAATCCACAGAGGCATTTGAGGAGATAGAGAGTGCATAGAGGCATTTGAGGATATTGCTCACGTCAAACTTGAAGAATAAACCCTTCAACTCATCATCAAAGTCCAGACTCTGGATTATGTAGACCACATCCCCAACAACATCCGAATGAAGAATAACAACTTGTTTGGAATCCTCCTCCTCCGGCGAATCCATAGAGGCATTTGAGGAGATAGGGAGTGCATAGGAAGAAGAAATTAACAGATTTGGGCCTTCTACTCATCCTCCGGCCAATCCACAGAGGCATTTGAGGAGATAGAGAGTGCATAGAGGCATTTGAGGATATTGCTCACGTCAAACTTGAAGAATAAACCCTTCAACTCATCATCAAAGTCCAGACTCTGGATTAGGTAGACCATATCCCCAACAACATCCGAATGAAGAATAACAACTTGTTTGGAATCCTCCTCCTCCGGCGAATCCATAGAGGCATTTGAGGAGATAGGGAGTGCATAGGGCGAAGAAATTGACAGATTTGGGCCTTTTACTCCTCCTCTGGCCAATCCACAGAGGCATTTGAGGAGATAGAGAGTGCATAGAGGCATTTAAGGATATTGCTTACGTCAAACTTAAAGAATAAACCCTTCAACTCATCATCAAAGTCCAGACTCTGGATTAGGTAGACCATATCCCCAAGCACAAAACTGCTCCAAAATACAAACCTACTGTATATTCACATTTGTTGTAAGAGCTGGGATCAAAAGTAAGTACTAAACCCTAAACCCTATATGGACAGTGCAAATCACATTAGATGACAACCTAATCCTTGAACCTCTTGTTCTTCTTATTGGATTCAGTAGCAGCAGCAGCATCCCTCTTTGAAGAAGCTGTCCAAGTCTTGCATCCTTGCATTCTTTGACACTTCACCATAGAATCGATATTGCTCACTTCAAACTGGAAGAATAATGCATTCATCTCATCATCCAAGCCCTGACTCTGGATTGAGTAGACCACATCCCCAACAACATTAGAATGAAGTATAATGATGTGTTTGGAATGTACCAAATCCTGCACAATGCACAAAACAAATTAAAATAATTGTTAAACCAATTAAACATCATACCAAAATATTAATAACTTACCTCTAAATCTGTCATGAGAGAGACATAAGCATCTGCCTAGTCAGCAACAACAACCCCATCAGGGATGTTTTCAAGATAAGACAGAAGCTATTCCTTGCACGTTATTTTCTTCTCCGGTATAAAACCAAAAAATATTAGAAATTTCAAGAATCATGAGAATTCAGCATATCAGAGTTGTATGTGTGGTCTTCATGATCAGTCAGATATCAAGTTATGAACACACATACAACAAAGTTTGACTGATCAGAATGATATAGATCACTCACAAAGAATTTTCCTCTAAATGCAAGTGATGATTTGAACTCATACTAGAAATATTATAAATAAAATATACAGATCCTACTGTATGGTAAACACTTTTTCCTCTTATGATTTCTAACGA